AAGGGAAAAAGAGGCGGTGCACATCAGAATGAAAGAAAATGACAAGCTGGGGCTCCTCGAAAGGACTTACGAGCAGAGACGAAAGAGGGAAGAGGGTAAAAGAGAAGGATAAAATAGGGGAGGTAAAATATAATACGGCACAAATAAAATAGGAGAGCATATGAAAAAAACAGCAGAGCGAAGGGTAAAACAGAAGCGGGCCGGGGGGGGGGGAAGGAAATTAAAAAAAAAAACAGGATAACAGAAAAGGGTAAAAGAGATTTGACATGCTTGCACAAAAAAAAAAAAAGGGTGAAGCAGAAGGATAAAAGAGAAGGATGAAAGAGATGGAATTTGATACAAGATACGAATAAACGAGAAGGCACCAAAAAAAAAGAAAAAAAAAAAGAGAGAGAGAAGATTTAAAAACGGAGCAGTTAGATGTGAGAGTCGCCAGGGAACTACCGTCTTCCCTCCCCTTGAACACAAATCACCCTCATTATGACTGTATCGGGCCCAAAAAACAGCTTGTATACGCTCATGATCGGGGTGCGTTGTATTCGGGGAAAGACGGTAAGCTTGTATACGTTCATGATCGCGGTGCGTTGTATTCAGGGGAAGACGGTAGGTCACAAGCCGGAGGAGAAAAGGCAGGAAAAGACGGAGTGCCAGTCCGGGGGGAGGGGGGGGAGGGGGGGGAGGGGTAAGGGAATGTCAGAGACCTCGATGGACATGTACTGACCCTACGACTGAACCGGGCCGGAAAAATAGCTTGTATACATTCACGATAGGGGTACGTTGTGTTCAGCAGTGACAGAACCCAAACACTTGGGGCATATACTGACACTACCGTCTTCCCCCGAACATAACGCACCCTGATAATGAACGCATACAAGCCAACTTTCCAGTCCGATACAGTCAAAATGAGGGTCCGTTGTGTTCGGGGGAAGACGGTATCTGACAACGATCGCGGACAGATTCCGCCAAAGAGTGCGCCAAAGAGAACCACCGAGAGACAGGAAAAGCACAGAGAGAGAGAGAGAAAGACGATGGGGGGAACAACAAACGGCGAAAACAGGACGAACGGGGAGTACCGAAAACAACGGCGATTGAGAGCAAAGAAGACGAGTATTTAAAACAAAGAAATGTTCCAGGTTATTTGTGGAGGGATTCCCGGCCTCCTCCCTTTCTGGTGAGTCTTTTTGTAAAAAAAAAAACGAAAAAAGAAGGGAAAAAGACGTCTAGAAAAAACAACGAACGACAGAAGGTGAGGAGGAGATAGACCATAGAAAAGAAAAAAACGAAATTAAAAAAATGAAAAAAAAGAGAGAAAATAGACAAGGTTAGTGAGAATTGATGCGATATTCACACTCAAAAAAAATAATAATAATAAATGGAAATGAAATATGAAAATAAAATATCAAAATAAAAAACGAAAATAAAACGAAAGAAAAGAGAGAAGATAGACAAGGTGTCCATCATGCACGACACATCCGCGTATATGACACACCGCATCGAACGCAATGATAGCAGGCGAAAAAAAGGTAGACCATAATAGTGAAAACAATGAAAAAAAGAGAGAGAGAGAGAGAAGATAGAGAAGGGACAGGGAAACGAAGCACGGTAGCACTTTTAACGGAGAAGCGATGCACTACGATGATGGATTGTGAACCGACGACGACCATTTGTGGACAAAAGAGGCAGATGGAAGTGGCCTGTCGGCGGCTGTGTCATACAAGTGTAACCTGTCCACTTGCGCTCTAAATGATGATGTCAGGAAGTTTAAGAAAATCTTCACACAAAACGTAAGGGCGCAAATCGAACGGGACAAGGGGTAGGAAGAACAGCGCGGTACGTTTTTTTTAGCGCGAAATGTTAACTCCTGCCCAAATCTATCAATTTTCTAAGGCTTATTCAGCTCTTTTTCACACTGACTGGCTTTGCTTCTGAAACTAACAGAAACCACGAGCGAACTAGTCTTCCCCCGAATACAACGTACGGTCATAATAGCTGAATTTGGCGTATCTTTCGGTCTAAATTCAGCTATAATGCCCGTACGTTGTATTCGGGGGAAGACTGTAGGCACAACTGAGAAAGTAACGATTCACAGGACCAAACTCCACAACACGGATGATGCTCCAGTACCTCCCGCCATGCTCACACACACCTGCACACACACGCACACACACACACACACACACACACACACACACACACACACACACACACACACACAGACACAACGAACATCGCAACGACACAGCTGCACACGCTCTCTCTCTCTCTCTCTCTCTCTCTCTCTCTCTCTCTCTCTCTCCATATCTATAAATCGTCACACCGTGTAACGGAGCGCAAAGGCGAAAAACACAAAACAGAAAAAGGAAAGAAGGAAAGCTCCGCCTGTTCATCACGTCTTACGTACAAGGCCGGCGACGTGGATGACATGTTGAGCACCGGCTGCCCCAATCCCCGTGTGTCGCAAGAGGAAGACGAGGACGACAAACGAGGGGATCACACACACCCTCCTGATGAGTCGGTAAAACCCGACGAAACACTCTGGCGCAGTCATGCTTTTCTTTTGGCATTGTGAATAGCGCGCGCGCGCGCACACACACACACACACACACACACACACACATATCGAACATCACAACGGCACAGCTGCACGCGCACACTCGCACACACACATACACAAGAGCACACACTCGCACGCGCACACACACACATACGCAAGCACGCACGCACACACGCACTGCGCCCCTACACAGATTCCAATAGCGCCTTGAGATTAAGAGCGGAGATAGATAAACTACGGTATCAAGCAAGCGCACACAGGTGCGCAGGCAGACCTTCACTGCGCCAAATGGAGAAACGACCTTGCACGATTTCACAGAATGCGATGAAATCGCTATGGCGCATACGTGGCTTTGTTGGTGAAGTGGCTATGGTAGCAACGTGGCTACGTTGGCAAAGTGGCTATAGTGGCAATCTGTCTATGCTGCGCAAAGTGGCTATCGCGCCAAAGCAGCTATTATGGGCGAACTGCCTGCAAAGTGCCCGTGGTGGGAAAGTAGCTATGGTAGCAAAGTGGCTGTGGCGGCGAAAAAGGGATACAATGGTGAAGTGGCCATGGTGGTGAAGCGGTGAAGTGCCCATGGTGGCGAGCTTGATATGTTGGTGGAGCGGCTAAGGTGGTGAGGTGGGCTATGGTGGCGCAGATACGGTACTGAGGTGGCTATGATGGTGAATCAGCTACTACGCTGGCGAACTGGTTGTCAAGGTGGAGCGGCTATGGTGGTGAGGTGGGCTATGGTGGCGCAGATACTGTGGTGAGGTGGGCTATGCTGGCGCAGATACGGTGGTGAGGTGGGCTATGGTGGAGTGGCTATGGTAGAGAGGTGGCTAAGGTGGTGAATTAGCTATGCTCGCAAGGTGGCTATAATGATGGAGCGGCTACGTTGGTGAGGTGGCGATGGTGGTGAATCAGCTATGGTGGTGAAACGCCTATGGCACTGCCGTCGCTATGGCAGTGAGGTGGCTATGGTGGTAAACCGCCTATAGTGAATATGGTAGTGAGGTGCGTGTGGTGATTAACTGACGATGATGTTGGCGTGACTATGGTGAGCATAATATCGCAAAGAACCACCAAAAAGGAACAACAAGTGTTTAGTGACGCAGGAGGCACAGCAAACTCGAAGCTCAAGAGTAGTACACCACAACAGAGCAGGAAAGATGGCACAAGTCTGACGAAGCAGCCAAAAAAAAAAAAACTCAGCAAAAAAAAAAAGAAGTCTTACGTTTACATGAAATTCTAGTTGGCGGGCAAAAGGAAAAGATTAAAAAAAAAGGGGAAGTCGGCCTAGAGCCGGGAAAAGAAAGGACTTGTTCGGGGAGTTTGCGATCAGGCACTAGGCCATCCGTTGAAATCCGCTATCAATGCGCCTGCTTCCGCCGTATTCCGCGAGCTCCCGCGCAGAACGCGCCTGCTTCCACCATGTTCCGCGAGCTCCCGCGCAGCTCGTGCGCATCCCGACGATATAGTAGCACCCTCACAGTTCAGCATGATTAGGACATACCAAGTCTTTTTCAGCCATGACATACGGGAATGCCCAATTATATACATATATACATAGGGCCTCGTTCCACTGACACTCTCCAAATGTGCAAAATGAGACTGCGTCTTGCGCTAGAACGTGGAAAGATACGCCGCCATATTTTTCTGTATTTTTGTGCATGTCCAGAGTAGTCGAACGAGGCCGTTTTTAAATAAATATAAATAAAATATATGTACAAACATAAAACATAATTGCAAACAGTGTCCCATGTTCACAAAGAAAGATACACGTGTATAGTGCCACGTGGTTGCTTCTGACGGCTTCCTTGGCGCATTGCTGCGACCTTACGCCTGCTCTCATCTTAAAACACCACCCCCAGTCTGACTGACTGATCCGTTCACTCACCTTGTGGGTCGTCGAAGAGCTCATCTTGATCGACTGATTGATTGACTGATTGCTTGATAGATTGGTATATGATTGATTGATATAGACCCGCAGACGGACGGCCCACCCTCGCAAAAAAAGTTTATCCGCTGCACCCGGATGTTCACCCCGCCACTTTCCGCCTGTTTGTCGACTCGACGGTATAGGTTATGGAAACCCCCTCGTATCGTACACGTCTGCCTGCCTGCCTGCCTGCCTGCTGCCTGCTGCCGAAGAGATCAATAAGATGAGCGGCCTGATGCACAAGTGTCAAATATGTACACCAGGTGATACTTGCATCTAAGAAGTTTGCAAACCGACCACCATTGCGAGAGACAAAACAGTCGCATCTGTGGCGGGAAATGGAGATGGGGAAGGGGAAAGGGCACTGATGGTAGAGGCGAGTGATGAGAGAGACTTTCGCTTATCGCGCCCTCCTACTACCCTCCTACCCTCTTCCAGGATTCCGCGGGAGTGCTCGTGCGCTCGTTCACCCCAGTTCCTCCTTCCTGTCAATCGGGGTCTGAGGTGGGTCGCTTTCCTGCCCTTTCGTCGCCTCGATGTAGCCGGACCGGTCGCCGCAGGGCGGGAACGAGGTTCGCTGGCGCCAAGCAAATTTCCGTCCATTACCGGTCGCCCTTTAAAATTCGACAACTCCGCTCAAGTCCGCTACCGGTACGTCTCGGTGCCGGTATTGTCTCAGAGCATAAGCGGATTGCAAGACTGAATCTGGACATGATTGCTATCAGATACCCGCCGGAGCCTGTTTTTCATTTTACCCTAAAGGCCTCGCTCCACTAGACAACAGTGTCTACATGTATCCGGGCGCTAGAATACTTCAAGTTCATTCAAAATGTTGGACTCCGAATGCATATGGTGCAGAAAGACCTCTACATGCATGTATGTAAAATGTCCAGTAGTGGAGCGAGGCTGGAAGGCGAATCGAAAATGCGCTTGCAAAAAAAAACAGAAATGCGCTTCCATAGGAGCTGCCGACACGTATCCCGCGCGCGAGCACACCGCACATCTCACGGGGGCGAGCGCGAGGGCACACCAGGCAGGCAGCGGCAAAGAGCAGGCGTGGGACCCAATTATGCGATTGGGAGCAACCCCAGAGAAATCACACAACAGTAAAGGCGTCCACAAATACATATCCCGGATGTATTTGTGTCCAGATGTCCCCGTCTGGGCTCGCCCTCGAAGGAACACCCAATGGTTTTGCTCCACCACAACCATGTGCTGAGTTCTTTTCTTTTTTCTTTTTTCTTTTTTTCCCCAAAACAACCTGATCAGTTGCTAGAGATGCTGATAACAGCAGTCACCGCTAGCACTGTCGAGGAGGCTCCATCTATTGGTGGGGAGCTGCACCTGCAGGAAAACGGGTCCAGCGTCCCTCATACAATTGATACTGATGTATGATGAAGTTGATGAGAACAGGAAGAGCTGCCTCTTCAGCCAGAAATTGACCGCCAGATACCCATGATATTGCTAGCAGTACTACCTCTTCTATCTATTGAAGAAACTTGTAAGAGAATCTGCAGAACTGCAGTACCTCAAAAATCGGACTTTCAAACTATATCATCCTGCTCTAAGCCAAACCAGCTCAGTGGAACCAGGCTTAAGGAGGGGGGAGGGAATGGGTCAGGGAATTCTGAAAGGGGGCGAAGGGGTACAGCAGGGTCCACATTTGTCCATTCATGAAAAATCAGGCTGTAATCCTTCTGGATTTCCTTCTTGCGTCCAGCCAGGCTTTCTCTCCTGTCTCTGCTCCTTTTAATCTCCCCTATCTTGCCCCCTTGAGGCCCCCCTAGCCATGCGCCACTGAACTGTTTTATGTGTTGTAGGATTTCTTTTTCTGAGGATAGAAATTTAATCCTTTTTTTTTTATTTATCCCATTGAGCTGAGATGACTGTCTGCACTTGCATTTTGATTGATTCTGTTAATTATAGGCCTTCCAGCCTTGCTCCCTCAGTTCTCTTGTTTCTTACATACCCCACATCTGGATCCTCAGGGAGTACTAACACCAGGACCTTATTTAGCAAACCTGTGTCCCACCCTCATTTTCTCGAATTTGGTTGGGAATTTTGCCAAGACCCTCAACCAAGAGTTGATTGTACTGCACTTTTGTACAGCATAGTTTGTTTGTTTGTTTTAAAATCAAAATTTAAAGGAAATTATAAAACAAGTTGTCCCTGTCGTAAACGAATATTTGTTTTCCTTTTTTCCCCTCAAATTTGGTTGTGAATTTTGGCATGACCCTTGGGCAAAAGTTGTTTGCATTGCAATACTGTACAACAGGTTTTTTTTTGTTTTTTTTGTTTTTTTTTATTATTTGAAAAAAAACAAAATTTCCAAAAATTTGAATACAATGTACATACGTTGTATTCAAATACGATATTCGACCGTACGTTCTATTTAAAAAAAAAAATCAGCGATTTTTTGGGATCCGTTTTTCATACGTAAGCTGAATAGAATATACGTACGTTTTTTTTTTTGTTAAGACAGTAGGTAGTTGAGGAGTGCTCATTCAGGGAAGGACGACGTGCAAGGTTATTGTGGATCAGTGGTTTGGTCGGTAGCCATGGAAAATGAGGGGGCAAAAGGGAGAGGGAGATTTCAACTTTCGGGTTATGGAAGATAGGGTTCGCCATTTGTTGGGACAATGTTATGATAAGGGCATCTTCGAGGTGGCATCGAATTTGGGGGAGGTTGTTATAGATGAAATAGGCACAAAGCGGGTTTCGACTTGTCAGATCAACATCCTTTCAAGGCCGCTCACAACCATCCTGATTTTCTACCTATATGAAACAATCATTTATTTGAAGTTAGCAAGAAAAAGCATTTGTTCGCCATATAACCCCACAGTCTCGTTGTTGTTGGTGTCAGATCAGCCTAGTAGATAATTGAGGAGTGGTCATTCATGGACGCACGTCGTGAAGGGATATTGTGGATAAGACGTTTGGTAGGTAGCCATAGAAAACAAGGGGAAAAAATGGAAAGAGCGATCTCCACCCCAAACTAACTTACGATTTATGGAGGAATGTGTTCGTCATTCGTTAGGACAATGCTATGGTGAGGGTGTCTTAAAGGTGGCATCAAATTTGGGGGAGGTCAACAAAAGTGGGCACAGTATGAAAGTTACAAAGTTTGTCACAAAGCGGATTCAAACAACTAAACTCAACACTGACCAATGTTGAGTTTTCATAAGTTTAATTATTTTTTTATATTAATTTAAAACTTTTATAATATAAAATATGATTTCGAAACTGAAAAATTTTACTAACGCACCTCGATCGACACAAGCAAAGAGGCAGGCTAACCAAGCTATATATACGTTGGATAAGAACAAAATTATTTAATAAGACTCACTTAATTGAAGACTTAGGAAAAAATTTATTCTCATTTTCTATATTTGTAACCGCACATTTTCCTACGACACCCGTTGAGAGAGTGAGAGTGAGAGAGAGAGAGAAAGGAGAAACCTTAGTTGATCTCTCTCTCTCTCTCTCTCTCTCTCTCTCTCTCTCTCTCTCTCTCTCTCTCTGAATACATATATATAGGCATATATAGGCATATATGTATATACATATATGTATCCCTCTCTCTTTTAACGCATGTTGAAAAACGCAACACGAGAATGAATTTTCTGCAAGAATGCAGGAAGATTCATTTCGAATCTCCTACAAGAATGCAGGAAGACTCATTTTGAATCTCCCGTGAGAATTTGAGAAGATTTGTTATTTCTCTCTCTCTCTCTCTCTCTCTCTCTCTC